GATGTAAGAGGAAAACATTGTTCGTTCGGTGAAAAGTACTGCTGAAGTAGTGTAGCAGAACAGGGTAGTGCAAACATATCACTGAATCTGGAATGTTGCCTATGCACGTACGTGTCACTATCTTAACTACGTACTAAAATACTAAAAATGTTTGTGTACACGCATATATATAGTACCATGCAAGATATATGATATGTGTTAAGTGTTGGAATTTAAGTGGATAGACGTCAATTGGGTTCAGGTGAAACATTGACTTCATGGCGTGGAACAAGGCACATGGGAGCTGCATGCTTCGCTATTTCAGTGCCTAAGATGGCTCAACAACTAACCCATGCGAGCATCTAGATCAAAAAGAAAAACCAAAGTATGACATACTACTCTCTTTAGGTTTACTTAGTGACTGTTTGTTAAAGTGAATTGAAGTCATGGTGTAGCGAACATGGCCCTTATGTTATGGCCTTGGTGGTTTGAGTGATTGAAATAACAAACATGACCAAGTAAGATACAGTTGCCCTTCTCTCATTAACGTCGCCCTTCTCTTCTCTGTGTTGGACCCAGTTGGTGTCAAATAAAGCAGCGGGACAAGTGAGCAAACAAAGTTGTGCTATGTGGAACGTTTATGGTTTGATTGCTTATCTGCATTAACATGTATCTAGGCTTGTGCAATCCAGTTTGCCCATGTTTGGTTGGGTGTAGAGGCTCTTATGCAGGCTTGCATGGTACTCAAAATAGATCAATGCAGCATTAGCTACTATGCTAGATTTTTTTTACTGTATTAGACAATATATATTTGCACAAGTCGATGAGACACACAAAAAAATATTTTTACATTCTCTACCTTTACTTAGCATATGAGACCCCTAATAGAACATATAAGGTGATTATATGCAATAAATTGTAAACAAACAAACATAATTTCATCGGACGCATGCAAGACAACCAAACATGAAGGCGTTGCATACGTTTATGTTGGTTTTAGGTTGTGCTTCATAAAGTCTAAAACAGATCAAGCCTAATATAGGCAATCAATCAAACTCTTAACACTTGTGAAGGGTGCAGTTGATTATCATACCCATCTATAAGGCTTAACGACGTAGTACTAGTTAGTTAATTATTAGTAGCTGGTGAAATAATACTATACCCTTTGCATTCCCTTTAGAAGATACTAGCTAGTTGCTATGTAAACCATAATTAGGGGGCCGGGGTGTAAGTAACTGTTGCTTGTTAATTTAATAATTAATAATGCAATGTACATATATCCGATCCTTTTGTTACGGCTCTTTCATTCACTTGTACTGTACCAATGAGCATTGGATTGGATCAAACAAAAACCGCTACAGGTACATCATATCATCGCCCACCAACAAGTTGCGAGTTAGGCAGATGATCGACCGGACACCCATATAGATATAGTGGCATACTGACATGGCCATAGTTATAAGGCGTCGTCTCAAAAAAAAAGAAATCCATTTGCATGCATTGGTTTCGAGTAAGGTAGGCAAGCTTGGATTTGCATATACACTACTCTTACTGTACATGTTCAGGCCGCGAGGTCATGAAAGGTGACACTGACACACTGTCCTGTCTTTTTTTGGACGGGAAACTTAAAAAGAAAAGAAAGAAAATGATGACTCTGTGCATGCCGAGAGGTGGCGTTTCCATCGGCAGGCAGCTGGGTGTAGGTGTAGGTGCTGGGTGGGGACGACGACGGGAGTAGCAGAGCAGGCAGCAGCAATGGTTGCAAAGCGCCGCATGCATGTGCTCGCTCTCTGTCTCCATATATATGCCACGCAAATCTGTCCATAGAAATAGAAATGTAGCGTGTATCTTCTTATTCAGTTGCCACCTTTTCAAACCTTAATTAACAGTAATTTACAATAGCTAGCCATCCGCGACTAAAGCTCCGAGGTTACAGTGATTAGTAGCCCTACTCAGTTGACACCATTATATTATAGACCTTAATAATCTCTCTGGTGCTCATTCAGTTCAGTCCTTGTGCTCAGTCTGCATAAGATGAGAACAGATGAACAAAATTGAACCCAGCCACCAGAGTCCACAAATGCCTAGCGCAGGGAGGAAAAAAGAGTTGCTTTCGTTCCGTCAATTCCCCTTAATCATGAACAATCATTGCACCGCATCGCCACAAATCCAAGAGACAATTTTCTGTCCACACAAGACGACACAATTTCGATTCCATCCTCGGGAAACAAGAACCAAATGCTGATGGAGAAATATGGAGCAAATAAACAGGAGCGATTTTCCTGATGCGGATGTCCATGTCAGCCGCACCGAAACATAATAAAACATAATTCGTGGTATCTAGCAAACATGTCCTATCAGCTCAGTAGGTGTTTGGATCTCGTGAGCTAACGATTAGCCCTAGATTTTGGATGCCAAATAAGAGGACTAAGCCTGAGCTAATTATAGGCTAATAAGAGCTAATGGCCTTTAATATTTAATTAACCCATTATCACAAGATGTGCTAACTTTTATCCTGAGATTCAAACAGCCCTTATATCTTTGTTATGCAGGTTCAGATAAACTGGCAGGAATGATGGACACATTGGCATGTCTGTTGCCTGCTATAGATTTTCAAGAGCATTTTACTGGATCAGGGCACTATTGGGATCATGAAGAGAACAAAACCGCAAATTCAAGTGAATTAGGACAAGGAACAGAGAGCAAGGTCCAACAGCTTGGTTGCAACTGACAGTTACCTTTCGAAAGTTAAAGATCGAATCCTGTATTTCACTGTCTCCAGTGTGTTCATCCAGACAAGCCAATAGCGCAACAAATTCTCAATGGGAAATCCAGACGCAGGATGAGAGGCATGAAGGATTGGCTCAAAGCAATCCCTTTATCCAACTACTTTTCAAAACCTTTCCTACACTATCATGTGTAAAACGTCATTATTTCTAGTGCTGACTTGTCTAGTCACCACAGATTTGTCATATATTGAGAATGTGTTCCACTGGTACAATGTTCTGAAGGCTGTGCAGGGGGAGTACTCAAACTTATATACTAATAGGAAGCAGATGATAAAAAGAAGCATGGTCGATTCACAAATGCACTAAAACAATCTCACTTGCAATCTTTGTATGGCTTAGAGCATCTCTAACAGTTTGGCATCTGCCTGCTCGCTGCGGCTATTTTTGGCTGCAGCTGCGGCTTATTCTAGCTATAGCTACAGTGGATAGTAGTTGAGTTCTTGCAGCCATAACTGCAGCTGTGTGGTGACACATCCATATTTTGCAAATTGCTCCTTGTCTGGTGGTAATCGCCTAGTACAGTGCCATGCCGTTGTGAATATTTGTTACAGAACAATTGAGTCCCCTGGTCCCTGCACAGCCACACCCAGACCCACTCAGCGCCGCCGCTGCCGCCCTCGCCTCCACTACCGCTGGTCCCCCTCCCTCCTCCTTCTGGCATATCACCAGAGGCCAGAGGAAGTGGGGATCCATCGTTTTTAATAAGTTTTTTCGGTAAATTGAGTCTTTAGGGTTAAAGTCTCTCCATGCCAAATTTAATAGTTTTGGAGATTTATTTCCTCCTCCTCTTCTTGGCGACGGTGAGAGGGCAGGGTGCAATCGTTTTCTCCATAGCGGCTCTGTTGAAGATGCGAGCAACAACTACGGCGTCAACATCCTCACCGGTTTGACGACATGGAGACTTTTATTTCCGGACGGCGACATCAAGGCGGAGACGGTGTCGCCGCCATGGAATAATTTTCTCCGATCTCTTCTCCGTTTTATTGTGGTTAGATCTGGCCAGTGACCGTAATGAAGGACTAAGGAGAATAAGTTTCACATCAGTCTTCCTCATTCTTTAGTGGCAGAAAGAAGAAGAAGGAAGACACCATAAAGAAGAAGTTTCTCAACTCCGCCCACATGAATGTTGGCCATCGTTCGTTAGGCATATGTTCTCAGGCCTTTTGCCGAGTGTTTGCCTGTACGGTCATCCATACTATAAAGCGTCGTACATGTTTGGTTTTGAGATCTGGAGCTATTCACAACGTGGGTACAATTCAGATGAAAGTCAGTTTTAGTTTCTGGATATCTGTGTAATCCAGAGTGCTTGTAACGTGTTTATGTACCCAACTATTATCTAATATAATTCTTCTTTCGTCGAAAAAAAAAAGCCACACCTAGACCCAGAGATTAGCTGCCCATGTTAAAGTGAAAATACTGATGGTTGCCCCTTTCAGGCTTTAGGAATGCTTTTATCTGTCTTTATTACGGGCTAGAACATGGAGTAGTTTGAGGGAGTTTTTTTTTCATCCTCCAAAATATTTGATATGTTATCTGAGATGCATGCAAACACCCATAGCAGTCAGGATGAACATTTCTAAAGTTAACAATCAGATTTAGTGAGGAAACACTCTGTTTGCTTGATCGTATCAGCCATGATACAATATTTTTCTCTCACAACAAAACAGCATCAGTCGGCTTATAAACCACAGAAACAATCAAGCGAACAGGGTTATGGTGCATCGCAATCGATGCAGTGAGGAAACTGTATATCATCAATCAAAATTGATAAAGGGAGATGTGAATCATCTACAACGGCAATGTTATCACTCCTTCAACCAAACCTGCACATGCATAATAACCTAAAAAAATGCAGAACATAGGGAATAAACAACAGGAAGAACAGCAGCGACTTTGAGTATAAATGCAGCGGGGTAAGATTTATCTGCATTCCACGATAAAAGAGACCATCACCAGATAAAGCAAAACATTAAGTCTTGTGTTTGGACTGCTTCCCTCGACTAATATTAGCTAATTTTTGCTTCTGGCACACACCATAACAAAATAATGCCACAATGAGAATAGTAATAACGGCAAAAGTTCAAAACTTCTTTCTCTTCTGGTTTTGAGACTCGCCCAGATTCTTACAATATACATCAAAAGTTCAAAACCTCTTTCTCTTCTTGTTTTGAGACTCACCCCCCTTGTTAAAGCTTCTGAAATCATTAGTGGTCTCAGCAGTGTTTTGCTTCTTCAGCCCTTTACGACCACCATTCCCAAACTTGGAATCCCTTGTCCTCCTGTTCTTTCCTTCTTTACCTCGCTTAGCAAGACCACCAGACCTGTCACCAGGAGAAACACCAGGCCTCTTTTTCTTTGATTATTTAAATCCTTCTTCTCCTTCAAAATTAAGGTCTGGCACATCATCATTTCTCTTGGTGAATCCGCCTTGTTGCCTCTGCTTCCTCCACTTCTTGACTGACTCAATCTGCTCCTTCTTCTGCTTAGCCCTCTCCTTCTTCTTCTCAGCCTGAACCTCCTTTGCTTTCTTCCTGGACTCTCTAGCCTTCCCCGCTCCTCAGCCTCCTCGATCCTCTTCTTCTCCGACAACAACCTCCCCTTGATCTTGTGCATGTGCGCATCAGTCTTCACCATCTCAGCATAGTAATCTGTTGGTCTAAGGAACCGGACCTTCATCGACTGCAGCCTCTCAAAGGCCTGCCTTGTGCCATCCAAAACTTGGGTGTAAAACGCAAGTTCGCGGGCAAGATCATCGTTGACATCAACTTTCTCCCCCTGATCATGCTCAATAGTGAGCTTGTGCATCCAGTCCACGTTCTTGGGCCAGGCTATGTCTTCAAGTTTTTCAAGAATAGCCTCCTTGTTGTATATAGCTTTGTCTGAAGGCTTAGCCTGAGCTTCTTCACCTGAGTCCGATTCTTCAACATCAGAATCAACATCATCCATGATTTCTTCATCATGGGCCAAGGCCTCTTGATTTGCAAGGGCCACCATTTTTACTATTACCAAAGAAAATGAGCTAATATTAATTAACAGAACCAAAATGACGGTGATACAAAAAAAATATAGTATGAAGGCAGAGGTGAAGCTAAATTTCCACAAAGCCCCCATCTTAGTTTGAACTGCCTGAAACTAAAACAAAATGCTACACACGGCAAGCATAACAAAAGTACAGAACAAATACCTAAATTCATATGGGAGTTGAACCACATAGTTGAATACAGTTAAACTGGAAGAACATAGTGGCAAGGTATCACAGGATAAATAAACTAAAAGGCAACTAAAGAATACAAATAACTAGCCAACTCCCACCTACGACATGGTCCTCAGAAGTATGACACATAGTTGTGTACAGGTTATGCATTTGTGCTCTAGTCCAAATTCTTCAGGTATAACCCAACAAATTACATATGGATCTCCAGCAAGTTCGACATGATGCAAATTAACAAAGCAATATAATTAATGCAGCACCACAAATCTACTTAAGAAAGCTTTGACACGATATGCAAAAAGATGGAATTGAACTTTGTCTAACTGTGGGCTCTTATTCCAGCACCATAGAGATACCCTTATGCCTTTACACAATCTACTTAGGGGTACGCAGTGGCTACATCTGCAGAACTCGGATAAAACAACGCAACAACCGGAGGAAATCAGTTAACACGACCAAACTGCTAGGGCTAAAATGTCTGCTGCAGAGATAATATGCATGCACCTAGGCACACTTTGGTCGATTACAGATGCAACACATCCAGGAGAGCATTAGTAAATGGGCATGGACGTACACATGTATACCCGATAATTTTTGCAAAATGTTAGAAGTTCGTAGGCATCAAAGAGCCAAATAGATAGCTTGAGGTTAGAGTTTGGGAACACGGTTTCGCACAGCATGCAGGGAAGAGAAGGGTGGGAATACCTGGTGGGCGCTCTTCGCCGGCGAGAAGGTCGGCACCTGGCGTAGGGTGGCGGTGGCGGTAGCCCACCCAGTCGTCCCCTCTTACTATATATAAAGGAAGCAACTTAGCTTTATGATTTCCTCCCTCGTATCTATTTACATATATAAGAGAACCATTTTTATGTTGGTATAATGCTAGGTAGGTCTGATTTCCATACTTAAATTACTTTCTATAATCTATGCATGTATTATTGTTCTGGTGGTTCGCGGGTGTACCTGCGGGTGACGGGTGTGGATGTAGACTTCTACCCGTGGCGGGCTGCGGGCACGGGTGTGGGTTTGTTATTCAACCCGCAAGTGCGGGTCTATATGTCTTATGCTTGCGGATAATGTGCTCGTTGCCATCGGAGCTCCGCCGCACCTTGTGCCTCCCGACCGGACTCGCGTTGCACACAGCCGAGGTCCGTGGACCGTGGTCCGTGGGCGACCTCCGCGCTGGCGTCGAGCTCCACATCAACGAGCCTCCATTGGGTGGCAGCAAGTAGATGAGCACAAGTTAGAACCGTATGTTTCATGTGTTTCAGATGTATGTTGCATATGTTTTATTTAGATATTGCAAAAGTAGATCAGGTGTTGCATATGTTGCAATGTCTATATACGTATGTTGCAAGTGTATGTTTCAACTATTTTCAAACGTATGTTGCAAGTAGTTTATCTGGATGTTGCATATGTTGCACTGGCTATACAGGTACACTGTAAGTGTATGTTTTCAAATGTTTCAGCTGTTTCAAACGTATGTTGCAAGTATTTTATCTAGATTGCATATGTTGCAGTGGGCATACACGTATGTTGCAAGTGTATGTTTTAAATGTTTCAGCTGTTTCAAATGTATGTTGCAAGTGTTTTATATGAATGTTGCATATGTTGTAGTGGTCATACACATATGTTGCAATAGTATGTTCTAAATGTTCCATCTGTTTTCAAACGTATGTTGCAGCAAATGCTTCATGTTGCAAGTGTTCCATGAGCAGTGGGAAGGGGAAGTGGGTGCGACGAGGGTGGTCCCAACGTCTTGCGAGAAGCGGGCGAATCACGGCAAAAGAAGCACATGCCTACCATAGCAGCATCGCGGGTCGGGCAATGGCCGGTGGCGCGGCAACAATGAGAAGCATGCAGCTAAGCGCAGCAGCAGCAGCGTCTTGGGCAGGCGGCATGAGCTGCATGCAACCATGCATACGAGTGGTCGAGCGAGAGAGCCCCCTGCAGCCTACGGACATGCGAAATAACAACGGGAATTGGGGGGCAGCGGCCACCGAACTGATTGATGGGACGAAAGGGCGGGCAGCAGGCTCGGGCGTCCGCTCGCGCGCCAGACGTCCGGGCGCTAGCAAAGCCCTAGGCGGCAATCGGCCCATGAAAATGGCTCATTCCTTCTTTTTTTGAGAAAACTGGCTTATTCTTTCTCCGTGTCATTTTTCCTTTTGCCATGATTTTTTCCTGTTTTAATTTTGTTTCCAACTGTTTTGATTATCATAACTTGTCACTGATGATTATATTTATATTTATGTTTTTCAGATCCACTAGCGAAAATTTCCCCTTTTCTATCACTAGCTTAGCTTAGGGTAACTTTCCTTTGGTCTTTTTAAATCAGTGTTCTAGTTTATTTTGATAAATATTTTTATTTCACATAAATCTCTTCTCTGTCTAATATTAAAGAGCGAAGCGTTTCTTCCAACCCGCTTTCTTGTCTCACTTTTTTACTTCTCAAACTACCCTCGCACCCACCATATCCCGTATGTGATCCGGATTCATAAGTCATGCTCATATAAGTCAAAGCAACCTGCTCCCCGCAATGATACGGAGCCCAATTCCAATATGTATTTGTATTCTTACAAGTTAGAACAACCGGTGTCCAACAATGGTACGAAGTTCATTACAAGACATATTAAGTTTTGTGTAACGCACATGCACACTTGCTAGTATATCATAAGTGATGAGTACCTATGTCCCAGTTACCCTCAACGACCAAGAAGCAAGGGCATAGCTGCTAGGAAGCAAGGGTGTAGGCGTGTAGCTGCCCTAAAGTCCCCGTTTGACTATACTCAATCGGAAGGTGACTTCGGGGAAGTACTAATACTCGAGAAAACACACACACACCCAACCTCTGTCGGCCCCTCAATTTGAGAGTCCTAAGTGCATTCGTATTTGCGCCAGGTTCACACACAAATACGCACAAAATCACAAGAATGGTACGCAGACATATAATAAAAGGTTCCAAGCTTTTATTGATATCTAGAAATAAGGTCTTACAACAGTGGCCCAAGGGGCATGGTCATAAGCTACATATCTAGCGGATGACTATGGCCATGAAATGACATTATTGGTGGTCTCTAGAGCGGGATTATTATACAGCGAAACGGTGTCCTATTCCACAGGCAACTTGAGCACGGCCGAAACCCTAGCATCGATGTCATACTCCTACAAACATATCTCCTTGCGGGAATCCTAATCTTCGTGGTACGTTTCCTCGTCGAAGTCATAGTCTTCTTCCGTGCTGAGGTATGTGTGTCAACAACGGGTGAGTACATACGTGCTCAGCAAGCCCTAACCATAGGGTGGACATAGAGCTGTAGTGGTGATTATAATTAAGGGTTGGTGTAGGGTCGAGATGGCGGACTTGAGGGGGGTGAATAGTCATTTCTAAAATTAATCACATCGGCTAACCGAAACAAATACGAAATTAAAACTATCAGTCTAGCCAAGATTACACCCCTCTATCTAAGTTCACAAGCACCTTATAAAGATCCTAATTAGGCAACAAAGGCGTCGGGTGTGGCAGAACCGCCTAATCTAATACCTCCCAGGAGTACTTGTATTCCGTTAGACACTAAGTACCCGAGGGAGGATACTAAATTTTGTGGTTCCGTCGGGCACACCTCAAGGGAGAACCCAAAATCCACATTTTTCTATCAGGATCATAAATGAGAGAATAAAGCTTACATCATTTAAGTCATTTCTTACATCACTTTTAATACAACATCAGAGTTATGAACAATTTAATTTAACAGCGAAATATAAACATGTGATCAGAGTTACAGCGGAAATAAATATATATTCATGGCATGATGAAGCATTGATATATAAACTATGACAACATATTATAAAACTTCTATTTATAAAACATTTAGTGAGAGTTATAAATAAAACTAGGATCGCAGCGTAAAGGAATCCTCTCTGAGCCCACCATGAGAGATCCACACACAAGGGTCAACTCTAGCATCCACCTGTCACCTGCTATAGGGGGAAATAAAACCCTGAGTACTCAATTGTACTCAGCAAAACTTACCCGACAGGCGGAAAGAAAAGACTCCAAGGATATGCAAGGCTTTCTGGCTTATAGGTTTATTGCATCTGCAAGAAGCATTACTAAGCGTGCGTCCTTATATTCAATTTTATTAGTAGTCAGCATTAGTTCATTAACCAACCATTCTATGTAAGCATCTGTGCTACTTTCAAGTAGGTGGTAAGCAATCAGAATCATTTTACCATTTTTCATCTTCCAGTTCTTACTACGATACTAGATTATAGACAAGTCGTACCGGATCGCCGACGATTCATGAATCAATGTGTCTAGCTGGGCACAAGCAGGACCAACCCACTACCCTCTTGTCACGGGGTCTAAGTCCCCGTCTAAACTTGGACTCCAAGCCCCCAACCGTGAGACCCGGACTCAGTGTGGTGCTTAGACCTCCACCCAAAAACCACCCTGAAAGTTGGTCTGAAAAGAGCCGAAACCCATGATAAAAGAGTAACAAGTCTTCCCGTGCCCATACACAAGTATGTGTTCAGGAAAATAAGTCTGTGACTTACGTAGAGTCCAATGCAACGGTCGGTCCTTAGCCGACACAGACAGGGAAAACAGTGTAACCAAGCTATGCCCTGTTAGCCACAGGACACAACCTCTTACACCCACCAATACCCAAACCATATCCCTGCCCGGTCTCCATTATCATTCATATATATATTTCAAGTGATAATAACATAGTAACAACAATAATATATTTCCTATCTCTCGCAAGTGACAAGCAATCACTCGACT